GTGCTGGTGCTGCTGCTGGTCCCGGCGCAGCGTGTCCTCGATCTGGGCGCGCGTGACCTTGCCGGGCGCGGCGGCGGCGCGCGGGGCCTTGCCGCCCTTGAGCTTGGAGTCCTCCTCCTGCAGCAGCCGCTGCGTCTCCTTCTTGCGCTCCAGCTGCTCCAGCCGCCGCTTCTCCTTCTCCTCCTGCGCGGAAGGACCCTTGGCGGCGGGACCGGGCCGCCCCGGTGACCGCCGTCCCCACGCCCGCGGACACGAGGTTTGCCTTGGGCTCAGGCCCGGGCCTGGCCACCGGAGGCTCCGTCAGTGCCCGGCTTAGGGAACTGACCTGTTCACCCGCAGCGCCGCGAGGCCCGCACGCGAGGGCAGAGGGCACAGAAGTCCGGGGGGACATGTCTGCCTGGTACAGGGGAGCCCTGGGCCAGAATGTTCTAGACAGAGACCAGCAGATGGCCGGTTTCATGGGCTTCTCCAGCCTTGGCCTGGCAGGTCTACCATCTTAAAGAACTGAAAAGCAGGGCGCAGCGGCCGGAGATCGGGAGACTCAGGTCCCGCAGAGTTAGGGAGGGGCTGTCTTTTAAAATGAGCTGGGCTTTAGGGCTGGGAAGGTGGCTCAGTGGTAGGACGCTTGCCTCGCATACATGAGGCCCTGGGTTTGATTCCTCAGCACCACCTAAGTAGAAAAGGCCAGATGTGGTGCTGTGGCTCAAGAGGTAGAGTGCTAGTCTTGAGCTGAAAAGCTGAGGGACAGCGCCCAGACCCAGAGTTCAAGCCCCAAGACTGACACCCCCCCAAAAAAAAAAGAAAAGAAAAAAAAATGAGCTGGGCCCACCCCAGCATGGAGAGTGCACAGGAGGATTCCTGTCTAAGCCAGCCCCAGGTAAGAACACAGGGAAAAAAGGCTGATAGAGCATCTCAGTTCAAGCCCCAGCCCAGCCAATAGATAGGCAGCGCAGTATAACACGTTTACTTTAAAAGGGCTTTTCTGTTTTTTAAGGTCTAGCTGCACCGCCTACATGGCCTTAATCGCTTGCTCCTTCCACGTCACTGTCCTGTGCTGCGCTCCCCCCAGATGTTAGCGGAGGTGCTCAGAGCACAGCTGTGCGGGTTCTGCTGTGGTCTGTGCTGAGACCACGCTCTGCTCCCCCCACACCCCATGCCTTGAGCCAGGCATTGGCTCTCCCCGCCAGAAATCCAGGCAGTCACCTCAACTCCCCCTCCCGAAGTCCAGGCATAACGCCGGGTCACTTGCTGTACAGCTTGTCCATGACAGACAGACAGAGCTTGGGGCCACACACCCAGACATGCAGGCACAACCTTCCTCTCGGCTCTGCTGTCCAATCTCTTGCTCCTCTGTGCCTCAGTTTCCCCACAGAAGATGCAGGCCCTGGGAGGGAGCTCCAGCCGGGGCCACCGCTCCTGAGGCTGGACTGAAAGCTGTGTTTGGGATCTTGGCTGCACTGATTTTCCCCATACATCACACTGGATATAAAGAGCCATGTGTGGGGGTGGGCGCCAGCATTCACACCTGCAATCCCAGCTACTCAGGAGGCTGAGATCTGAGAATCAGGGTTCAAAGCCAGCCTGGGCAGCAAAGTGCATAGGACTTATCTCCAATGAACCACCTGAAAGCTGGAGATGTCACTGTGGCTCATGCAGCAGGGCGCTGGCCTTGAAGACAAAAACGCAGGGAAAGCACCCAGACCCTGAACCCAAGCCCTAGGGCTGGCAAAGGAAAGAACAAAAGCGAGGTGTGGCCGGCTCTGCCAGGACAGGGAGGCGGCGCCACCTGCTGGACGCAGTTCCCACCCAGATGTCCCGCGGTGACAGCCACCAGGGCCTCCAGGGCCCAGTCCCTCCCATCCACTCTGGCAGTGAGGCCCCAGATCCCCACCTTGCGCTGCTCCTTCCTCATGACGTGTTTGTCCTCGTCCTTCCAGTAGGCATCCTCCAGCTCCTTCTGCTTCCGCGCATCGGCTGCTGCCTTGGCCTCAGCCCTCCTTGCCCGGGCCGCTGCCGACTTGGTGTTCTCTCCCTGGAACTTCTTGGGCATTCCTTAGCAGCTGTGGGAGCAAGCAGGAGGTGGCAGTGAGAGGTGGGGGGTCCACGGTGCCCGGACCACAGGCCAGGACGAGGGAGCCTGCACCACACAGAGCATGGGCGTCGGTGCTGCCCAGCCTTCACGGGTCTGCCCGTCGCGCCCCCCCCCAGCCACGGGGCTGCTTCCTGTCCTTCAGGGGATCCAGGCACCCCGAGTGGCCTCTGCCTGGCTTCCTTCACAGCTTTGTGTTTTAAGCGTCAACCATGTTGTAGCCTATCAGGTGCTCTGTTCCTTTTCCTGGCCAGGTAGTATTCCTCGGTGAATGCACTGTCCTCGTCCTGTTTGCTGCTGACAGGCTGGGCATCTGACCAGTGTGGCTGCTCCCAGTGGTTCCTGCCTCCTATGGCCTAGGCCTGGGCACATTGGGCAGAGACCACCAGCACACCCACTCAGAATCACCAGGGAGGGCTGGGAAGGTGACTCAGTGATAGAGTGCTGAGTGCCTGCCTTGCAGGCATGAGGCCCTGGGTTCAATGGGGCTCAAGTGGTAGAGCGCTCGCCTTGAGCTGAAGAGCTGAGGGACAGCGCCCAGGCCCTGAGTTCAAGACCCACAACTAACAAAAAAGAAATTCACAGTGCGTCCTGCGCCACTCACGGGCCAGGCTTCGGTTGTGCGTCCATGTTAACTCACACAGCTCCAGTTCATGCTGCCCAGTTCTGGCTCTGTTGTCCTGCCTAGGCCCCAGCTGGCTTTCAAGGGACACCGGTACAGGGAGAGAGGCTGTGGCACCAGGCTGCCAGCCAAGCCTGCAGCCCACACAGCATGGAACTCTGTACCAGGGAGATACCTGGCCGGCTTGGCAGGCCACAAGCAGTCTGAGCCTTAGTTTCCCCAGCTGAGACACAAGTCTGATGCCCACCCCTCCCCGCTGGCCACCACACCCCATGCAGCAGCCTGACTGGGGGTCCCCTAGCCCTTGAACCTCGGGTTCACTGCCCAGTGCTCAGAGGACCCAAACAAGCCCTCCCCCAGGCTTCTGGAGAGAGCACAGAAGTGGGGTGACCATCCGGGAGGGGGTGTGGTCACTTCCGGGGGGGGCTATCCGCCCGGCTCCGGGGCTCACAGCAAGCAGCTGACCTGGGCCCTTCCAGGGCCGGGCTTCCCGGGTGTGCGCCCAGGGCTGGCCCGGAGCCTCACAGCCTGGAATCCAGCGCGCGCCACGCCACAGGTGCGGGCGGGGCTCCCACGACTTCCCGGGCTGGTCTCAAACTCCTGACTCGCGTCACCCTCGCCCCGTCTCCCCGCGATGGGCACCGGGATGCCACTGTGGTCCCCGGCCGGGGAGCGAGGCGTCTGTCTGTCTGCAGCCAGACACCGCCGCGCAGACGCGGGCGGCCAGCGACCCCGGGAC